TCATAAAATTATGGGATTTACGCAAATATTATATCATATAATAAATTTAAACTTACATTTTCATTTAAAAAATATAAAAAATACCTTGGCTTGAAGCTCGCTTGTCTGTTCTTCATGATACTGAAAAAGTAATATAGTTAGTTAAATCCTGCATAAAATATCAGCCCAGCAAAAACATCTTATGACAAACATTAAACAACATAAGAAAAAAATTCAAGTGCACCAATTTTTTTTAATGTTATCGTAGTCTAATAACCTAACAACTTTTAAGTATTTAAATTCTTTTTCATTAAAGAACAAAATTAAATTGAGAATAAAAAGTAAAAAGAAAAAGTAGTGAAAAAAAAAGAATTTTTTGTGTAATATATCTTTATTCTACTACTGCCAAGTCCTTTCTCTTTATCCTTCAGCCATCTTTATCCTTTACCAATGTTGTTGGTGCTTATCACACTCAATGGCTTGGCTCTAGAGTCAGTGACTCTGCATGCCCACAACTTTTTCCTTTCTCAATCTTTAACACACATAAGTCAACTTTCTAACTCACTTTCCAGACTATCCAGAGAAAAACACATTGTAAACATAGTTGGATTTGCTCTTGTAGCCAACCTCTAACCATTATCGCATTGTAGTAATGTAATTTTTCTTCCACTTTTCTATACTATAATGCTCTCTTGTGCCATTTACTAAAATTCATTCTTGTGTTACTCATCATTCAATTAAGTCTCACCCTTTTGCTGTGATTGTTCTTAAGTGCTCCAAAAATTCTTACTTGTGTCTAGTTTTTTTCTTCGAACATCAGTTGTAAGGAATTTGCTTTCTTCATCTTGTTTTCCTGATTATTATAATTTGCAATTTTTTAAGCTTTCTGCTAATCATTATCTTCTTCTATAAACTTTATCTTTTCTCTTCCAGTAATTTCCAATGGCGGTTGCTTGCAGCTTTGTTGGTAGTAAAGATGTTAAAAAAAAAAAAGAAAAAAAATTCTGCTATAAACCAAACATATAGTTGGCCTTAACAAGTATACCCCCTTAAAAAATAAAATCATCTGTAGGTTATGTGATAGTGATGTTGAGGCAAAGCACTCACTTTGTAAGCAAAACATGTCTCATGTTTACAATGCATTTTTGTACCTTGCCTAAAAGAGAAAGGGCATCATTAGAAGATCTGCCCCAGACATGACAACAGTATTACATACAAGGCCAGATTTGAGATTTATAGAGATAGAGAATAGAATCCAGAGTAAGAAGGTGTCAAGCTCGATAAAGAGATGCAACTTTAGCAGATGCTAATTTTGCAACGGATTTGATATAAGGTTTCAAAGAAAGATCAGAAGTAAGAGTAAATCCTAAAAGATGAAGGGTAGATGACTCATCAACTACATTACTGTTCATAAATATAGAAAGATCTAAATTATTGCAATAACGATTGGCTGAAAAAAATTGAGTTTTATCTGAATTAAAGTTCACCACCCACTGTGAGCCCCATGCTGTAGCAGAAGTGAGATCCTTTTCAAGCTTAAATGCCCCTTCCAAGCAATCAGAGAGAGTTGGCTTCTTATCATGACAAGAATAAATGGTATTATCAACAGCCAACAATGCCACCTTAGATGTGAGATTATCTGGAAGATCGTTCATGTAAATTAAAAAGAGTATAGGACCAAGGATTGAACCTTGAGGAACCCCTGAGGTTACAGAATAAAAAGAACAGTACTGTCCATCAAGGACAATTTTTATACTACAATTGGAAAGAAAGGATTCAATAATCTTAAAGATGTTTCTAGATACACCATAAGCTGATAGCTTATGGAGAAGACCAGCATGCCAAACTTTATCAAACGCTTTAGAAATGTCAAGAGCAATGGCTTTAACCTCTCCACCTTTATCTAATGCACAATAAAACCTATCTGTTATTGCTGTTAGCAAATCAGCCGTAGAACGAGAAGATCGAAATTGATGATCAGAAAGTAAGTTATTAGATTCAAGATGAGAGATTAAGTGTTTGTTAATTAAAGACTCAAATCTTGCTTATGACAGGAAGAAGACTAATGGGACGGTAGTAAGACGAATCAGATCGCTCTCCAGAATTTTTTAAACGAGGGATAACAGATGCTGCTTTCCAGCAGGTTGGAAAACAAGATTCTGATAAGCACTTGCTGAATAGTTTTGAAAGGATAGACAACAGCTCCGGTGAACATTTCTGCAAGACTATAACAGGTATGTTGTCCATGCCACAAGCTGTAGAGGAGTCTAAGCAGGAAATCACTTTAGATACAGAATAGTGCTTCCAATATCGATACCATTTTTCAATATCGGTATTTTGGTACTGAAAACTTTCAATACCAGTAATACCGGTATTAAACTTTTTTTTAATTGATCATAATATAAATAAAATCAAAAATAATATAATTATTTTACTATTAAATTAGATTTAATAGTAAAAATTTCATAAAATTCAATAAACTTATTTATATCATTTTTATATCATTTATTACTGACTTTTTTGTTTTTAGCTTTTTTCTCCTTTGTAAAAAACATAGGGTGTTCAGAGTATCAACCTCAAGAGATGATCGTAATTTTGTGACAATGTGCCACTTGTTGAAAATCCACGCTTCGATTCCACACTTGTTGGCTTCACAGTTTTCAAGCATTGGTAGGAATTTTGCAAATATATACCACGATTTCCTCCTTCTTCGAAAACTGCCATCTCATTACAGGGCTCGAATTAACGCAAAAAAATCTAATCCTGAAAAATAAAAAAAATTTTCACCAAACCCTCCCTTATATATTGCGCTTTTTTGCGGTAATGGGGGGGGGGAGGGGGGAGGGAAGTTGCGTTAGTATATATTTGTATAAAAAAGTTGCTTTTAGCACTATTTTACTAATAGAAATTTTATTTAATAAAAACGAATTTATATATTTTATTATACTTAAAGTAGTAAAAATAATTACATAAAATTGTTTATAAAATAATAATTTAAATCATTGTTATTAAGTTAATTTGGAGCAACGTTTCTTTTAAAAAAAGATAAAAATGTTGTTTTGTTAAAAAAACAGAATGAAAAAAAAATTATATTTAACTTTTGTCTTTTTAATTTGCTTCTACGCAGAAATTTAAAGTAGTTTGAATTAAAAAGTGCTTTACGTTGAATAAAAACCTCCGCGCGAATGAGCAAATGACCATTGTTCTATTCAAAAGACAAACTTTGCTTGACGTACTTTACTATGAAAACATTACTTTTAAGAATTGCCAAACAAAAAAGCTAAATAAGAAAAATAGTAAATAAACAACTAAAAAAGTAAACCAATTGCGAAAATATATGTTTTAAGAAAAAACTAATCGCGAAGGTGTAAAAAGCAATCGCGATTCGCGATTGCGATACGCTTAATTCGAGCCCTGCATTACATATAATTTTTAATGAATTATTCAAAACATTCAATCTTCCTTTGTTGTTACATTTCTTATTTTTCAAAATTGCAAAGTCAAGTTTTTCTTTTAACGACAAGTTTACAGTGTTGTCAACAGAATTGCTAGAATCGGAAGAAACGCTGGTGGAAGGAAGAGTATTATATGCTTTCTGATTTAGCTGATCTTTTAGCAGAAAATGCTGTATTGGCTGACAAAAGTGTTGCATCATTTCAGCACAATGTTTTTAAAGCCAGTTTAACTAGCACAAGGCATGAAGCAACAGATAATATTGCATTAAACTCTTTATCAGTTACCTGAACTTTAGACTCAAAGTCAATCAGTGACTTGAAAATGCAATTTTTTAAATTTACAAAACGTTCAAGCATTGAGTGTGAGCTACTCCAGCAATTTTTGGAGTCAAGTATTAGTAGAAGGCCTTTACTAACTTTTTTTTATTCTGCATTTTTAAAGTGTTTGGTCAAATTTCACAACGGTGCACATTTTATTGAATAACGGCTGCAAATTATCAGTTTTGCTAATTGTCAGTTTAATAAAATCATTCACTTCACTCATTACAACTTGAAACCCGCCGGAAAGTTATGCATCATTACTGATTTTGTTTGTGTTCTCCTCAATATTTCTATCCTTGTCACTTTCACTGCTAATGTTATAATTGCAGATTATTTTCAAGTTTTTTTTTTTGCAGATATTGATGGTTTTTTTGTACTTGAATAGTTGTGCATTAGGGGAGTACCATGCCTAATGCACAACTATTGATCAAAGTTACTTAAAAGTTACTTGAATACAGTAACATAAACTGTGTCAACAATTTTTGAACTAAATCAATACATTTTTCAGCAGGCAGTGAACCAACAACTCTAGCTAATTTAAGGTTCCAAAATCAAGGGCGTTCAATCTAGAAAAAAATGAGGGCAACAAATTATCGCGTTGATTTTGCAAGAAACCGGTGATCAGAGGTTTGGATTTATCAGCCATTGATGATGATACCAATGAAAACGTAACCAATGAAGATGCTGCATCTTGGGGGAATTTCCTCTTCAGCAAGTCGATTTTATGGTTACTTTTATGATGTGTATGTAGTACACTGGTACTTCCACCATATGATTTTACCTCTTTGTTGCACTTCTTACACTTTGCAAGTTGATTTTCACGCAGAATCATGCAGAAAATAAAACCTTGCAGAACTTTTGCCAACTCGTACGATGGTGCTAAACTCTTTGAACACTTTCTATGACATTTTATTTTTTCCGGTTAATAAGGTAATTCAATCTATTAGACATAAAATATTGATTATTATTTCTTAATTCAAAATGCGTAAGGTTTTTTAGTAAGTGTATTATAGCAATTGCTGTTAATTCTATAACTTTACATGGCATATATGCCATGTAATGTCAAAATGATAGGTTATAGATAATATAATGATAGATTATAGATAATATGTCAAGATGATAGATGATAGATTATCATGTCAAGATGATAGATTATAAATCATTTTTCATGGTGTAATTTGCCAATGGTATACCATTGGCAAATTACACTATGAAAAACGCTTTGTTGTTGTAAAAAAGAATGCATATATTTTTTATAAAATAAGCGCTCAATTCAAGTGAAAAAACTAATGGTGTATATTGGCATGCACTTTATCTGAAAGTAGAAAAGTGAATGTTATCAATAGTTTACAATATTAATTTTATTTTTATTTTAAAGTTTTTATTTTTGCTTTTACCAGAAAGTAAAATCTACAGACATTCTACAGAAGAGAACATTTCATAACCTTAATGATTAGTATTTAAAGTAGGTTGGAGTCGGTTTTGTCATGTGGCAGCAAATCTTAAGTTAATTAACAATATTTCAGCCTTGCCAATAAATTGTGTTTAAAATTCAAAACATTAGAAACAAATTTAAATAAAATTTGTTTCTAATGTTTTGAATTTTAATTATTATAAGTGGCATGGCAAAAAATTTGCCAGAATAAACTTACCATTTTACTAAAAACTACTTGTTAAGTAAAATGGTAACCACACATAGATATAATGGAATTTATGAACATTATGATGGACCTGTCACAAAGTTCTTTATTATTTTATAATCTGAGTCTTTTGTATTTTATACTCTGCATGGAAACATTGAGGACATTTAGAAGAGGTAGAAACTAATTAAGATTAATTATTAAAAAAAATAATAATAATTTTTTTTTGTACACTAAAGCCTGTTCCAAAATTCTTCACTATCTTCCTCAAAATCACGAGATTTGGAAAACATATTAAAGAGTTTGTGACACAAATGTGCAAGTATTTAAGGAATCATATAAATGACTCTATTAGCCATTTTTATATATCATATTTTTTCTTGGGTTAAAAATTTTATAGAATAAAAGCACTTTTTTTTATTAAATAAAAACAGAAATATTTTTAGTGGACTTCTGGAGTCTGTACTGGACCTCTGGACCTCTTTTTAGTGGACCTCTGGAGTCTGTACTGGACCTCTGGACCTCTTTTTAGTGGACCTCTGGAGTCTGTACATCTGTACATAAAAACATAAACAAAACAATGAAAAGGTTTGCAATGTTATAACTTAATAAATAGATATATCACATATTGGTGTATTATAGGTACACCCTGTATATACACCAACATAAATACCCTTATGCAGGGTGTTTAGTTAAAAATAAATTTTATTCTTTCAGTAAAATGCAATTTTTATTTTTATTTCAGTTTTTTTGTTGTCAGGTTGTCACAATCTAAAAGTCAAATATTTTTGCAACATTGTGATTTTCAACCTCTAAATTGATGCCTAATATTTGTAAGTTTTTCAAATAAGAAACATTAAGTAAATAAGCAAAATTTTAAAATGTAATTGATCAACTAATAAAAACAATTTCGTTATTTATCCTTTTTATAAAAATACCTGTAAAATGTTTAAATAAAAACCATTTGAATAATTTATTAATTGTTCATAAAAATCAGCTGTGGCCACTTAGTTATATATTTGTTACCAAACATGATACTTTATAAGCTCTTAAAAAAAGGGTGATTTAATAATTTTGTCATTTACTGAAAAAAAGTATAGATAATTGTTTTTTTTTTCTTTTTAATGTCTTACAACATTCTCTGAACTTACACTTACATTTTCTGAACTGTAAAAATGAAAATTTACATTGGCAGTAATAAATTGTCTATTTAGATATACATTAGATACATAGTGATTCTAGACCAACTATTTTGTAAAAGTTACTTAAAATAAAACAAACCTTTCTCCTTGCTCTTTCTCTGCGATTACTTTCTTTGAGAATGGTATTTTCTGCAACCAATGACGTATCAACATAAGCTTGAGTGATTTGTTCTGATGTTTTTGCAAGAGCAGTACTATTCAGTGATGACATTAAAACACGCTCATCAAACTAAATTTACATTCAAAATGAGTTTATAATTAAATTTAAAATTTAATTACAAATGCGAAAATTTTTTACTTAAAATATCCAAAACTTTTTGATCAGATTTTCATTTTGAATTAAAATCAAAAAAAAATCAAAAATAAATAAAATCTTTGTTTTAAGATACGAGAGTACTTGCCAATGTCAAGATGTGTACTTAACTACATTCTTTTTTTTACAACGTTGGTCTAATAGCAAAAAGTTTATTGAAAATTTTGTGAGTATTAAAAGCAACAGTTGCATTCAATTGTGTTGAATGCAACTACATTGCATTCAATTGTGTTGTATCAAATATTGAATAAGTGATTATTATTTATTGTTAATTATTACTATACTTTTTATATACTATATAAAATATTATTTTGTTTGTTTTAATTATTACTATACTTTTTATATCCTATATAAATTGTTATTTTGTTTGAGGTAAATGAAAGCATTAAAAAAAAAACATAATAGACTTAAATCATATTAAAAACATTAAAAATGCCACTATATTGAACCAATAATTTTGCTTTCGTTAATGACACTTTTGAATATTTTCCCTAAAAAATGACACTTTTGAATATTTTCCCTAAAAAATGACACTTTTGAATATTTTCCCTAAAAAATGACACTTTTGAATATTTTCCCTAAAAAATGACACTTTTGAATATTTTCCCTAAAAAATGACACTTTTGAATATTTTCCCTAAAAAATGACACTTTTGAATATTTTCCCTAAAAAATGACACTTTTGAATATTTTCCCTAAAAAATGACACTTTTGAATATTTTCCCTAAAAAATGACACTTTTGAATATTTTCCCTAAAAAATGACACTTTTGAATATTTTCCCTAAAAAATGACACTTTTGAATATTTTCCCTAAAAAATGACACTTTTGAATATTTTCCCTAAAAAATGACACTTTTGAATATTTTCCCTAAAAAATGACACTTTTGAATATTTTCCCTAAAAAATGACACTTTTGAATATTTTCCCTAAAAAATGACACTTTTGAATATTTTCCCTAAAAAATGACACTTTTGAATATTTTCCCTAAAAAATGACACTTTTGAATATTTTCCCTAAAAAATGACACTTTTGAATATTTTCCCTAAAAAATGACACTTTTGAATATTTTCCCTAAAAAATGACACTTTTGAATATTTTCCCTAAAAATATTCTTATTTTCTGAGTAAAAGTCTTCTGAGTTGAAATAAATTTTCTATTCTTAGATCATTATTCTTAGATTCAATAATCTAAAGATGATAGCATTATAAGAATGAATTAGACAATAACATTCTACACAAATTTCTTCAAATGATAAAAAGTTTGTTAATAAATTTCTAATAAAAAAGATTAACAGTAAAAATTACAATTACCATGGAAATGGTAACTGTAATTTTTACCACAAAAAGTGAAAACCATAGAGAAAAAAGATCAACAAAGAATCAAAATGATGTTCAACAAAGAAAGAAAACTTCTATACCTACATGAATTTACAAGATTATATAAAAAGCACAACACAATAAAAAATCATGAAAAAAACAAATGTCACGAGATAAGTATAAATTTTAAAAACAAGTGAAAAAAAAAAACATTTTAAAAACAAGTTGTTATTTTTTTCCAGTTTTTTTTTTCAAACAAAAAAACTAAAATAACTAAAGAACGCCATTTTTACCATATTTTAAAACTTGTATTCTTTGATGCTGTTGCTGTCGCTATTTTTTTTAATTCATTTGCATTTTTTTTAAATTCATTTACAATTAGGAAGTAAAAATAATAACACAAAATAAAATACCATAATAAACTAAAAAAAAAAGATAATAAAAAATGTAAAAAATAGGTTTGTCATTATTATTATATCTACCATGCTCATTCTATTTTAAGTCTGTATTTATAAAAATTTAAACTAAAAAAAAATCCATTTAACTCAAATTTTACCTCAAACAAACAACCATACAACAAACCAAACAAACAAACAAACCCAACTCAAACAAACAAAACATTTAACAACAGTAAGATATGGCTGTCATTTTGCAATTTCAAAAAAATTTTTATATATGTTTAGCACTACAAGGCCAGGGATCATCATAGCCAAAGAGACTTCTTTTTTTTTTAAATTTTTAAATAATGTTGTTACAAACATTTTTCAACCCTATAAACAAATCGTGATAAACAGGCAGTTGTGTGAAAAATAAATGTAGTACTATCAGTGGTGTGGTGGGTTTGAACTCTTGTTTACAAATTAAAACAAAGCTTTTGTTTTTGACTTTTGCAAGAGGGTTATAACAATCTTTAAGAAAAAAACATAATTAAAAAAACCTAGAACTTGTAAATTATAACAACAATGATAAGCTTCATGAACTTTATCATTGTTGCTATATTAGTTTTTTTTTTATTACAAATTAACATTACATATTATATATTACATAATATGTAATGTATAATATGTAATGTTACATATTATATATTACATAATATGTAATATATAATATGTAATGTTCATATTACATATGAACATTACATATTATATATTACATATTATATATGGCCTTATTTATTACAAAATGATAAAGCCTTTATTGTTTAAAGCCTAGATTGTTATTACAATAAATAAATCGTATTGTTGTTGTTACAACATTACCGCTTTATTTATTTTAATTGTCACATGTCAATAAATATTTTAAACAATACTTCATAAAAATATCAAACTTAACACACAATTTAAATTTATTTATCAAATATCAAAAATATCAAATATTAACACATGATAATTTTATTCATATATTAGGTTATTAGATTTGTGGAAACAAATAATGGTCAAAATTTATAACATCATAATATATGATATCTATATTAGCCTCTTATTCATAAAAGAGTCTCACTTGCTTTATCTCTTTTACTTTTTTACATATGCCTTTGTGGCTGCTGCTCAAGCAAGCTATCACTAAATACATTAAATAAAGCTTCCATCAATCTTGTGTGACTTGTATGAGCCTCTGTCTAATTGTTGTAAAGTTTACTTTTTTATATATGCTGTTGGCCGCTGCTCAAGCAAGGTATCATCACTTATTTTATCAACTAAAACTCAATCCTGTGTGACTTGTCATTCTGCAACATTACATCCTTTTACTTTAGCAGTTCTTTCATACTCAAAAAAATTTATTCATTTATTAAAAACTTTATTCAATTCATCTAGTTTTTCTTCCAAACTTAGGTACTTTAGAATTCTCGCTCATTTGTGTGTATTTCTGACTCAATTTAGAGTTATTTTCTTCTATCAACTCTTTTTCTTTAACTCTTCTTTTTGTTTTCTATTAAATCCTAGTTTGTGGTGGCAGCATAAACGCGTGTTTGTCATTGTGGTGGCAGCATAAACGCTATGTGTTGTCATTATCAACTTTTCACAAAAGTTAACACAGCATAAACGCTATGTTGTGGTGGCAGCATATGTGTTGTCATTATCAACTTTTTACAAAAGTCACAAAAAATTTATTTCTGCTTTTAAAATATAAATCACTTTTTTTATCAAAACATTTTCTATTATAAAATAAAACCTTCAGATACTAACTGATGTAAAAATGTAACTATTATTTTATTATTTTATATTTTTTTAAAGATTTCTAGATCTTTTATCTGTTAGATACTAAATTTTATTATTTAGCAGAAATATTGTTTAGCGTGTTTTTTGCATTTAATTTAGAACCAATTCTTTTTATTTTTAACAAAATTTATGCATTATATTTTTATAAAATATTTTGATAGATATGCTTTTTTATATTTACTATATTTTAAAAACATTACTAATATTTACCTCAGAATTAGGGTCAGCATTTGGCAATGCCAACCTAACTGCCAACCTTAAAGTGTTTGAGGTCAACAAAAAATTGCCAACCTCATTTCAATGCTTTATGATAAGACCATTTGCCAACCTCTAAAAGATTGAGGTAGGCAAATTATTGTCAACCTCAATCTTTTAGTTCTTTTATTCCGAGGTTTGCAAATATGTCAGGGGTGGAAAACCTTTTTTCCTGGTCACACGGCAGGTGACTGAAATAACGTATATATCTTACTTGAGTCATCTGGTTTGATAATCAGTAATCCGGTATTTTGAATTTTTGGGGTATATTTTCTTGGGTGAAAAAAAACTGAAGAAAAAAAAAGTTTTTCTTTCTAGAGGTTTTTGTTTCCTTCAATTGCTACACCATATAATAAGTTCAAAGATTTCTAATATTTTATTAATTATAATTAAATTTAGCTTTATTAATTTTTAGATTTTATTAATTATAATTATATTTAGCTCTGAAAACAAAAGGGCACTGTTTCAACTCACTAAGAAAAAGATTATAAGTTACTTTCACATTGTTTTTTGTGAAGTGCTTTTCTTGACAATACTCACAGTTCATAATGTAGTCAATTCTTTCGCCCTCAATTTCTGCTTTTACTCTTTCTTTACAAAGCAGCTGCAACTTTATGCTTACAGAATCTTTACTTTGTTCATGATATAAGTTACTTAAATTTTGTGTGTTGCAACCAAGAAAACTTAATAAACCAAGTGGTCTGAAATTTTCTTTTGTTGGTGCAGTCTGTATAAGTTTTGTTTCATTTCTGTTGAAATGAAACAAAAACTGTAAAGGGTTCCATTGCATTTACATGGGGCAAAAGCTTAAAAAAATAGCTAAAAAAAACTCAATACGAAAACAATAATTTTCTATTATTCTAGCTCAACCTTCAATCAAATTTAAATTAGTTGAATGTTTTAACAGCACCATTTTCTTATTCACATCAAATTTAGAACTGGTTTAAATTCCACTCAGAAAGCACAAAAGCTCATGATGTTGCGTAAAAAAAATGGTTTTATTAATAAATACTATTAATAATAAATACTTTTTGTAAGTAAAAAACTGTCTTGCCATGCTGTCAAGTTACATACATGCATTACCACAACAATTTCTAATAAAATTTATATTTTTAAATCAACTTGAAATAAAAAACAAATTAAAATTTTAAAATTTTAATAAATTTATTACTTAATACTTTTAAAATTATTATGTTTTTAATTTCAAAAATAACTCTTTAAAATAATTATTGTAATGAGCAGTGGGTAGGATTTTAGTTTAAATTTTGCAAATTAAAAATAATAATAATAAACTACACATTTGCTTTTTTACTGTTTTCAAATAGTTTAGATAAAATAAAACAACTTTATTAGGAACATGTACAACTGTGATTACATATATCTTTTAATTATTGTTTTATTATATTATTAAAATTATAAAATAATTTTATAATAGTTTTTTATTCATATTTGTATTTTTTTCTTCAAATTAAAACAAATTATAAAAAGATCAATATAATTTACCGGAAGTTCATTCAAGTCATGCCCTCTTAGTAAAGTCACTGTATCAGTGCTGGATGCGTTAGATATATTCAGATCTTCTCTCAAATAATCTATGAAGTATTTACAAACAATTTAAAACAAAAGTTAACTCTATAAAAAATTTTGTTCAATAATATTTAACATTTTGTTCAATAATATTTAACATTTTGTTCAATAATATTTAACATTTTGTTCAATAATATTTAACATTTTATAAATTTAATTAAAGTAAAATAAGTAAATAACTTAATAAAATAAGAAAAAAATAATAATATTTAGGCAAAGTTGGCTCTTGGAAATGCCTTTATAACTCCTCCCCTACATACAAATCCTTAGCGGTACACATACCTACATCATCCCATCCCTAAGAAAATTTAAGGAGAAAAAGATGATTTAATCATACTTGTTACAAGAAAAACTGAATAAAGCAAATTAATTTCATCTCGCCTAGCTAATTTTCTCTCATTTTGAAAACAATTAATTTCATCTTGTCTAGCTCTATTTCTCTCATTTTGACACTGATTAATTAAATCTCGCCTAGCAGCATTTCTCACATTTTGAAGACGATTAATTTCATCTCACCTAGCTTTATTTCTTTCATTTTGATGACAATTATTAGCATAAAAACTTAAAATTTACCAACTTTTCTGCCCTGATAAGAAAGAACACAGTGTCTGTAAAACATTCATCTTGCACAATTTGCAATATACTTAATATTCACATACAAGCCATACAAAAGCATACAAACTTTTTAATTTTTTAGATTGTATTTATTAATGAGTTTTAATATTATAACAAATGAAAATTTTAATTTTTGGTTTTTGAGTTTATTAGGTTAAAAAATCTATTCACTTCTATTAGCATTCACTTTTATTAGCAAGGTTAGTTGCTAAAAACGTATATTGTAGTATAAACTAATAAAACAGTATTGCAGTCACTTCTTTCTTATCAAGGCAGTATTGCAGACACTTCTTTCTTATATGGGCAGTATTGCAGTCACTTTTATCAGCAAGGTTAGTTGTTAATAACGTTTTTGACAGTATTATTTAAAACTTAGTTAGTTAAAACTTAGTTTAAAACTTAGTTAATAGTTTCTTTTAAGTCTTTAAAGATTACTTAAAAACTAATTCAATGCAGAAAAAAAAAAAATAATAAAAAATAAATAAATGAAAACAGTTTACATATATGAAAACAATCTACACTTTTCCAAATGCATTGGAGAACTGTAAACTCTTTCTACATATGACTTGATGATGGGAAAAAATGGCATAGATATTATTATATAAAAAATATCAAACCTGCATTTGAAGAGCACAAAATTGAATTAATCTGTCCACGAAGTAGCTCCATTTGTTTGATGGAATCTGTTTTCAAGACTAATGGAATGGGATTCTGTGTCTGAAAATACAAATGTTATGTGCTAATGTGCAATAATGTTATAAAAAGATTTTATTTAATTTCTTAGAGAAATAAAACAATAGAGTAATATATATATATATATATATATATATATATATATATATATATATATATATATATATATATATATATATATATATATATATATATATATATATATATATATATATATATATATACATATATATATATATATATATATATATAAATATATATATATATATATATTTATATATATATATATATATATATATATATATATATATATATATATATATATATATATATATCCTTACAGTGTAGTCGAAAGAGTCTTTTAATGTAAAAAAAGTCTCTTTCAACTACAATTTTAATTACCTCGTCTCTTAAGCTGCATTTGATTGTCATCGAAATGTCAAAGCAATTAAATTAGTGTAGAAGTACATAAAATTTTATTGTTTTTTAAAAAATTTTTAAAAAACCGCAATAGTAACAACTAGAAAGTTTTTTTTTAATTAGTGGTGTTTTTGTTTTTGTTTTATTAAACAAAACATTTTTAAAACATGCGTAAATGTTGCTACATCGACTATCTTATAGCCTGCTGCTACAAGGGAGTGTTTCTACATCGACTATCTTATAGCCTGACTCGCAAGGGAGTGCTGCTACATCGACTGACAAATAGCCTGACTTGCAAGGGAGTGCTGCTACATCGACTGTCAAATAGCCTGACTCGCAAGGGAGTGCTGCTACAACGACTGACAAATAGCCTGACTCGCAAGGGAGTGCTGCTACATCGACTGAGGGTTTGGTTTGGGCAGGCAGTCTATCATTTTAAAAAAGAAAAAATTTAAGTTTTTAAACTTTTTCTGGTCTGGTTTATTAACGCGCTTTTTAAAACTACAGTTTATGGGAAACTCTTTCTGACTACCTTGCAAGAGTATATATATATATATATATATATATATATATATATATATATATATATATATATATATATATATATATATATATATATATATATATATATATATATATATATAAATTAGTAGAAAATCACTTAGCAAAATTTTTTTTAGAAATGACTACTTTAGAAATGATTACTTAAGTAATCATTTCTAAAGAACTCTTTTTACAATAGTGTCAGCAAATTACACAAATGTGTGAAAAATTGTAGTAGTTAAGACATGTGACTTCCTGTAATTTAATTTTTAGTATAAATTGAAGTTTTATTAATTTGATCATTCATTTCTGATGAGTCTTTATTGACACAGTGTTAAATGAGAAAAAATTTTGCTAAGTGATTTTCTACTAATTTGTAATTGCTTTGTTCTTTTAAAAACATTGAGCACTCTTTTTGTAAAATACATTTTAAATTGTTTATATATATATATATATATATATATATATATATATATATATATATATATATATATATATATATATATATATATATATATATATATATATATATATATATATATATATATATATATATATATATATATAGTCGTTTACAAATGGAGAAAATAACCTTGAATTATTAAACTAAAAACATACCTATACCATCTAATAAAGAATATGAATTGGGATTACTAGAAATAACTGAAATATTGATCAAAAAAATAAAATGGAAAGCTTTTTTCGAATAATATGAGCAATACTAATGATAATAATAATATTAAAGAAAACTTTATATTTTATGGCTTTAATGCACTGCATTGCCCTCAAGAGATTAAAGATATGTGTGCATTTGAAAACAATTTATTTGAAATAATTAGGTAAAAAATGTGGAAGTGGTGTAGTGGTAGATTATTCGACTCATAAGGGAGAAGTTCCAAGTTTGATCCCCATCAAGTCCCTGGTAGTACCGCCTTAACTTGTTTCTCTGCACAGTGGCCTGGTTCATCAGGGTTCGTGTTTCGGAGTTATAGAGTTGAGAGAGGTTGTAACCACACAGGGAAAAAAAAAAAAGTAACCTCCTCAACTGTAGTGGCTTCTCAGCCTTGGGGTAGTAAATAATTAAAAAAAAAAATTTAAATATCCAGTTTAGGAAGATACAATCCAACTTCCAAAATAAATTAAAAAACGATGTTTCCTCTATTCAAAAATCAAAATATATCTACGCATATGCAGATAAGATGTCAAACTTATACAAACTTCCTAAAGATGAATACAATAAATTGATGACAAATGCTCCCATAACTAATTATAAATAAAACAATCCAGCAAAAGATCAGATTAATAAAGGAAAAATTGTATTAAAAAATAACGATGTTTTCAATAAAATTTATATAAAAGGATCATCAAACTGTTTTATCACATTAAAAGATCGTAAACCTAATTTTTTACATAATCCTACAGTTTTCTCATAAACCCAGCAAAAAGCGTAATAGGAAGAATAAGTAAACATACTTTATTTGACATATACACCAAGCTAAAAAATATTTTATGCACCAGTGGAGGTTATGAATGATATGAGGTGCACCAGTGGAGTAACACAGGAGGTAATTAAATGGTTCAAGAATATCATTCTTAATTTCATTTCTTGAGACATTTTTATAAATTCCTCATTTTTGAGATTGTTGACTTTTACCGCAAATAGAGTCGATAAGAAGTTTTACAAAAAGCTTATTATTGACTCTATTTGCTTTACTGAACAGTATGTTACCTTTGGCCTCCTCAGCCTTTCACAGTGGGTCAGAATACCAGTTTTTGAGACAAAATTCATAATTTTTTACCTATTAGTCATATGGTCACCAAACTTGGCATGTGTACTAATATGAGGTCTGTGCTTTTTAGAAAGGTAATATTTTTGTTGTTTGGCTGCTATGGAAACCTCATTTGCAAGCATCCTGGTTCCTTGGTAATAATAAAATCAATTTGGAACAAAATTACTATTGTTTTAAACCATTAACAGTATTGTAACAAATTTTGGTATACATACTAAATGGATGATGTGATTTGTAAAAGTATTGTTTTTATAAATTCTTTTGCTTTAGATACCAAATTTGCATAGCAACAATAACGTTTGCATTGTTGTAATAGTTATTGTAAATATATAAGTTTAGGCTTAGCCCTACACTACATAAAAATAGTTTATTCATTGCTAAAAGGGTTTTTTAATTTATTTTTATAGAAAAGGCATAGTCAATATAAAAGAAATGTGCATGCAGCACCACAATACAAATCTAAGTTACTTTTTCATAAATTGTTTTGTTTGTCGATGACACAAGTTCCAGTATTTCTTCATTTTAAATAATACAAAATGTAATGCCGCTCTGATTTGGTCTTGGTCAGTGTTACTGTAATTTTGTTGATCTTCATTAGACAATATTACAACCTTTACCAGGTTCATATCAAATTATACTTATATATATATATATATATATATATATATATATATATATATATATATATATATATATATATATATATATATATATATATATATATATATAGGTTTAAAATATTATTTTACTAAATGTCTTGCTTTAGTCCGCGACCAGTGACGGATTCAGGATTTTTTAGTGTTTACAATAACTTCCAGACATGGAACAAACTACAAACATTTGTATATTTATACTTATTTTAAAAAGAGATGCTTTGCAAAAATTTGCAATGACTGGAAGCTGGAAATGAAAAAGCCCTTTAAATTTATCCCTTTTTCACCCCAAATATGAGGGGCAACATTGATAAAATATTTTTTGTACTATTCTCAACTAGATATTCATCAATAAGTTTTTAGTTACAAAATATTATCTCTCAGCATTCAAAAATTGTGACCATGTAAAGTTTAAACCCCCTCAATTTGAGGGGGTTACAAATTTTATATGGTTATTATAATGCTTAATGTTAGTCAGAGATGCAAAGAAATGCATGGAAACTTTATTTACAATTAATATATGTTTAAGTTTTAAAAAATGTTGTCAGTTCAGTGACAACTTTCGATATAAAAAATATCTGACAAAATAATTTAAAAATATCTATATTTATCATTTTAATATAGCAACTCGATTGACAAAATTAAAGTCTATTATACCTTACTACCTAACTAAACAATTTTAAATTGTAGAAATCAAAAACTAATAGGCTTATTTAAAAAAATTATAAAATATATTTTGGGCTAAAATAAGTAACATTGGAAATTGTTGCTTATCAACATTGTCAATGGTGATTTAAAATTTTATAAAATTTTTAGTACTCTAAAATCTTTTCAAATAAATATGATATATATTGTTCAAAAGCCTTTATATTACACTAAAAGTACTAATTTCCTATGCTATAACTGGATAATTGATATTACTGTTTTGCATCAGTCCATTGAACTATTTTTTTGTACTTTTGTCACACTATGACCCACTGTGCCTTGGGAACCTTTTTTCCAGACTAATCACTTACCATCACTCCTTCATTTGTGTCTTGTCTCTGACTCTAGCTTGTGTACAGTTTCTCCTTGTTCTTCTTTATGGTGGTTCTGACCATTCTATAATTCTTTATATATAATCTCTGTATCTCGCACTACTTTTTTGAACTCACCCATCATTGCACTACTTACTAATCTTAAGCTGACTGGGATTCTTTTTGTGATTTACTCTCTGCTAATTTAAAGTACCTCCTACATATCTTCCTAGATCCAGGCAGGTGTAGAAACTTTTATTGCTTCTTTTTGGTTTCAAGTCAAGCCTCATTCTACTTCATGGTTTTCATCTTCTTGCACAGTTGCTATATCTAATCATAACATAGGCCAACAAAAAAAACTTTTTTTATGATGCCGAGCAAACAATTAGTTTTTTTATAGTATTTCTCATTTTGATTTCAAATATGCAACTCATTTTTCACCATAACGTCAAGTTGTAAAGATATTTGGGTTCAAATCTTTAGTATTTGGGGTAAAGTCCCTAATATTGTTGGAAAAAAAGTTTTTCGAAAGTATGTCAACCTGGGCCTCAAACGAAGCATATTTTCATAGAGATTTTGGAAAACATAGATATTTTTTCTTAAAACTTATTGACAAAAAAATTATGTGAAAAAATGCTAAAGACTCTTAGAAAAATTTTAACAAAATGTTTTTCAGCAATAATAAAAAAAGTTTTTATTGTTTTTATTACAAACGAATAACATTTTTAAAATCTCTATGAAAAACTATTTGCAAAGAAGTTTTCCTTTAATTCGACTCTTGAATCTATTGGCAGGCCTTGTTATGAGATTTTATTGTATAACTAATGTGGTAGTCGTGTAGTGGTAGAGCACTCGCCTCATAAACAAGAAGTTTTGAGTTTGATCCCCACCATATCCCTGGTAGTAAGGCGCCTAACTTGTTTTTCTGCACAGCGGCCTTGTTCGTCAAGGTTCGTGTTTCAGAGTTATAGAGTTAAGAGAGGTTTTTAACTACAACTTTAATAGCCTCCTTGACTGTATTGGCCTTCATAGCCTGGGGAGATAAATTCAAATAAAATTGAAAAAAAAAAAAAAATTAAAACACTTAATGCTAATAAATGTAACTTTAAAACAGCTTTGATATTTACACTGTTAAAAGTTGTTTCATGTTAAGTTAAATTGCATGAGTGTATTTTTAAAGTACTGTAACTAAATTCAATTTTTTTTATAGCTGCTGGTAGGAGTGCCGCTACATTAAAACATTAAAATTTTAATTTCAAACTGCGTTAAAAATCATTTAAACTAATATAACAAAAATTACTAATGAAATTCAGTATTTAAAAAAGATATTTCTTAATAATTTATTTCTTAAAACAATCTTATACTTAACATAATCTTTTGTTTGTTTATTACAACTCATTTTTTTAATTTTACATATTAATTGTAATATTTTTAATAAAGATTTATAAAATTATATACAATGTATAGATATTATAAACAATGTATAGATAGATTTTAACATAATTTATGTTCTTAAATTAACTACATCAAAAGAACTTTGATACTGAATTAATAATAAACCAAAAATTTTTAATAGTTTTAGAATAAACATCACAAACAATATTAAAAATTTTAAGATAAATATGTTTTTGCTTAACGTAAAACTGCTGAAAGCATACGCGTCTATTTGAAATTAAATGGTGGCAAAGCAAAGACTATTACTCTTTTCATATCAAAAGCTTTCGATAAAGTTTGAAATGCTGGTTTTCTCCAAAGCTTGCTTTATATAGTGTATACAGAAAGTTTTTAAGATTATTAAATCATTTCTTTTTAACTATAGTATTAGAGTCACTGTAATAAGGTTGCATTTCTTTTTTCTACAAATACTAAACAATCATGGTCACTGCTCAAATGAGCTATTACCTTTAGTTCCATCAATCATACCAACTTATTCTTGCTTGACTCATTATTCAGCAAAGTTGCATCATTTTACTGTATCTGTCCTTGCATGCTCTAAAAACTTTTACTGATTTAGTTTTTTTTTTCACACTTTAATGCTTTGGAACTCTTTCCCATCTTCAAGCAATAAGGGACACAATGTGATTTAATGGAGTGTCATCACAAACAGCACTATTATAAGAGAAATCACAACAAATCACACGCCTACAGGAAAGGTGATTATACAAGAATGCACCACTGGAGCATATTGACAAAGATAAGAAGTTTGCAGGAATATCAGCAATTTATTTTGCCCAAACAAAACAAAATAAAAAGTACCATAAAAGATCCACGTATATCGGCTGAGGTTAGATCATTAATGCGTCTTAAAAAATACAGTAGAGTCAACTTAGAGCAACGAGTCATAAAAACAGTGAAATGTTAAATAAATACAAAGTGACAAAAAAGAAACTGAAAAAAGCTGTAAAGAAATCAGTGAGCGAGTATGAAAAAATTAATTGTTGACAAGATAAAGACAGATCCTCTGATATTCTATTCATATGCAAAAAGACACACAAAGCTGAAACACAAATCGCAAATGTTGAGAGACAATACAGGTGCAATAATCTTCAAAAAGGAAACAATTGTCAATTGTCTAAATGAAATTTTTCAATCTGTTTTTGAATCAGAGGGAGATACAGTGCTTCCAAAATTCAATAAAGCAATAAATGAAGATATTGAGTGGGACTAGAGGAGTGTGTTAAATTCAGAGAATGTAAAAAATAAACTAGAAAAATTGGACGAAAACAAAGCAATGGGCAGCAATATGGTGAGTCCATATATATTTAAGAAATGTGCACCAACACTCTTCAAACCTCTAGCAATCATATTCAGCTTTACAATTGAATCAAGCACTACTAAAATTCATCTATTGTCACCTCCAAAAATTCATTCTTGCATTACTCACCATTCAATTAAGTCTCATCCTTTTTCTGTGACTGTTCCTAAATGCTCCAAAAACTCTTACTCCTTTAGTTTTTTTCCTCAAACATCAGTTCATTGGAATTCGCTTCCTTCATCTTACTTTCCTGATTTATAAAATTTGCAATCTTTTTAGTCGTCTGTCAATTGTTTCTCTACAATCTTCATCTTTTCTATTCCATTAACTTCTAACTCTAAGAGTGGTTGCTTGCAGCCTTGTTGGGAGCAAAAATGTTAAAAAAAAAAAAAGCACAATACCATTTATTTATTTAATAGTTGGAGTGAAGCAAACAATAATATTTATTTAATAGTTGCAGTGAAGCAAACATAATCCCTTTGTTCAAGAAGAGCAATCCATATGTACCATTAAACTATTGGAAGAATTTATTCATGTAGCAATCACTGACCATTTGCAACTACATGATGTTCTATCACAACACCAGCTTGGTTTTTTGAAGAAAAGTGCTTGTGTAACCAACTTATTGGAAACAATGAATTTTTTGACAAGATACATGGAGTGCAAGTGTCCAATCGACATGATGTACTTGGGATAAACTTGAAGCATATGGGATATCCGATATTTTGTTGAGATGAATCAAGGTTTTTTTAACCAATTGTAGGCAACGCGTTGTAATGGAAGGTGTCATTGTCATGGTTTAATACACTCAGTGGTGTTTCTCAGGGATCTGTTTCCGGTCCTCATTTGTTTTTGATATTCATCAACAATATACCAGTAACACTACAATGTATATGTAAACTTTACGCTGACAACAGCAAGTTAATGAAACCAATGAAAAACATTTAGGATATGATCAGTTTGCAAATGGATATCAACAAGTTAGTTGAATGGACAAGTATATGGTTTCTGGAGTTAAACAAAAAAAAAGTGCAAGGTTGCACATTGACTAAAGAACCCTAAGACCATGTATGCGATGACAGAAAATGGTGTTTCATACAAACTAGGCAAAACATCAGTAGAATGTGATCTCAGCATGTTGATCTCATTAGACATCAAATGGCATTATCAAGTTAATGCAGCAGCAGCAAAAGCACAGAATGTACTCAGAATCATCAAGCATACCTTCACTTATCTGAATACAGAAATGATTTGTACTTTAAATGCAGTACTAGTCAGACCTCACCTTGAGTTTGCAATCTTTGTATGGAATCCTACTTTGAAAGGCGACATTGAAACACTAGAAACAGTCCAGCTTTGTGCAACCAAACTGGTACAAAAACTCAAACATCTGTGTCATGAGGAGCGACTATTCAAAATGAAATTGACTACATTGGAGACTAAAGGTATGCGCGGCAATCTAATACAAGAGTACAAATTATTGAACAATATAGATCACATTACATGGCTTAAACCTGAACAACTTGCACTACCATTACAAGCAAACGAACCAGCATCAGCAATAAAAGGTCATAATCTAAGAATTGAAAAAGAAAATGTCAAGCATTCTTCGTCTTGACAAGCATTTTTTAGTAACCATATTGCAAATGAATGGAATGCATTACCGTGGTGAATGCACAGTCTTTGAACTCTTTTAAAGTAAGACGTGAAATTTTTATTTTAAATTTTGTGAAATTTATTTAACTCCAATTTTTTTTATGTTACTTTGATTTTTAACAAATTATAAATTATTATAAATAAAATAACGAGTAGTGTCGGCTGTTATAACGCATATATAACCATTTATGTGTTTTGCTACTCGCTACAGCATCTGTTTTCTCATCTAATACTATTACTATTATTACAATTACTAGATATATATATATATAAATATATATATATATATATATATATATATACATATATATATATACAGACCGTTCTAGACAGTTTTCGACAGCGTCGACCGTATTTGTGCGCCACCAAAAATAAAATTTGAGGACCTTTTTTTTTCTTACATTTTTTACAACATATATATTTTTTTTTCATGATAAAACGCCAATTTTCTGTTAAATTTCTCTATGACAGGAGGGGTACAGCAGCCCAAATATTTTTCCTCGAATAGCCCCTGTATATATATATATATATATATATATATATATATATATATATATATATATATATATATATATATATATATATATATATATAATATATATTTATAAACATTTATTAAATATAAAATACCTTTTGAATTGAATGAGGAGACATATTATTAATTACATACTGATTTTCTAAATCTTGCAATTTTTCATTAAAGCTAGCATCATTTGCTCTCACGTTTTTTGCATTTGTAGAACCTACTGAAAGTTGATAAATTTGGTAAAAAAAATTTCATTTTAAAATACTTAAAAATCATCATTTATGCTTATAATTTCTTGACTACCTGATCCAATGCTACTTTGTGTATAAGTTGTCATAATATAAAAATCCTCTTTAACTCTAAATAGAACAAAGCATATAAATTTTTAAATAAACATTTCAAATATTATTAAATATAAATATACTTATTCAATTTTATCTTTATTTTCCTTTCAGAGATGCCTCTTAAAATCTAGATATTTATTACTGTCAGATTTAAAAACTTATTTATGTCTAAAATGATGTGCAAATCTAACAAACATATATCATTCAGTTAGATAAAACTTTATTAAAAAACATCTAAATAATTTAACTCATAATGCCCAGGGCTACAACTCATAATGCCCAGGGCTACAAGAAAGAAAAATCAAGATATTTGTATTATATAAAAAATTCTTTAACTATCTTACTGTAAAAGCATGTAACTGTAGTAATATAGTATTTTATTTTATTTTTTACAATATAACTTGTTCACTTATAGTAAATACATTCAGCAGTTAAATAATATAAACACACCATGAGGTTACACACAGCAATGCACAATGATACCATATGCTGTAATATTGTAAAATAAGATGAGTTTAGCCTGGTTGGTGACTTTAATAAATCTAGAAAAAAATAGTTATAAATTTAAAAAAACTACTTTGTTTGCCTGTATTTTAACTAAAGTAACAAAAAAGTAAACTTTCTTTATTTATAAGATTGGTTGCAGTTTGTGAAACTATTGATATCAATTTTTATTATTTATTTTTAAATAATAAATAAATTTTAAATTTAGTCATTATGAAGTTTTTTTTATAATTTTTTTTTTTCATTATGAAGTATTTATTTATAATAAAAAGCAGTTTCTATTGATCCATAATTGGTATAACACGAGAACTGCTTGACTAAAAATCATATGCTGCAAAAATATCAGTTGGTTTCAACTGTTGGTAATATTTGAGTGGGTTGTAATGTATAACCTATAGTCATTAAATGAAAATTTGCATTTCTTTGCCTTCCCCTCCCCCACTACCACCCACCCACAGACTGCATTTTGCTAAATGCTTTTTTGAGTACCCTCTACTTACATAAAAGTACCAACGCTTTAACCTACCTAACCAACATTTTATATATTTTTTAATTTAGTGTCTCCTTATATTTATAATTGACCTCTGCCTCTCATCTTATGTACACCTTTTGCCGATTGTCTCTCCCACATCTGAGCGTACATACTTTAAGGACGAACCCTAGAGTGATTTTTTAATGTGGGTTTTGATTAACCCTTCTAAATAACCCAGCAGGCGTTTGGTCCCCGAAAAACGTCTTTTTAGGAAAAAAGCTTAAAATGTATTTGATTTAATATTACAGGTTTAACTTTCTAATCCCATTTTTAGGATGGCATAATAAAAAAATCATATTTACAATTGTGTTACATCATGCATAGAACATATAAAACACTATGTTTTTGGAAGTCATGGTTATATTTCATATAACAAGGCAATATTAACCAAATATTTAAATCAAATTATAAGAGGAAATTAATACAAATCTTTAAGATTCCTTTTTTAAACAATAAAGTAAATTTAATGTTTAAATAATGAAAAGCCAGGTGGTCGCACAATTTTTACAAAAATTGAGGAAATTTTCGAAAACAATATTATAAGTATACGTTCTTTAAGATTCCAAGTTGTCTACCATGATTTATACAGTAAGTCTTAGGCAGACCATAATTGGATATTAATATATTTTTTGATAGCACTCCGAACTGGCATATTGCACATCAGCTCTGGTAATAAATAAATAGCAAAAAATGGATCTATATATCCTGAGAAGATAATTAATTCAATAAAGTCTGCTGCATATTTGACGTAATAAGATGATTCAAAAGGTCGTATCACCTACCCATATACAGTCTAGAAAGCAAATTTAATGGGTCAACCTTGAAAAAAAAAGAAAAAGAAAAGCATGCTATAACTGCTTATTGAGTGGATTAATCAACTCCACTGTTTTGCAACTCCACTGTTTTGCAGGTTTGAATTTCTTTGATTGCCTAAACTAAAAAAAACTCCAGTAACAATTATCTATTTTAATACAATTTGCTATCACATATAAATCTCAATGTTTAATCTTTGTTTGAATTCAAACAAATTGATGTCTTCATAAAGACAACAAACATCACTTAACTGCACTTCCTCTAAATTTTACATATTTGTGTCAGCCATTGGATATTGCATATTTTTAACCTACAGCTTAACACTTTACTCAGTAGAAAAAAATATTAAGATGAAGATGTTAATGTGAAAATATATTTTTTTTAATAAATATAGTTATTTATTTTTATTAGCGCATTTTGTTACATCATGCATTTCTAATACAACTTATAATATAAGTTGTATTAGATATGCACGATGTGACAAAATGTGTTAATAAAAATAGAAAGTTACATTCTTGACCTTTTTAGTTTAATTTTTAAGTTGGCTCCTTTTATCAACTTATCATTTACTAAAGGCTTTAGGCGGTCAAAGTGGTTGGAATTAATAGTTAATAACTACTTGGTTTTAGTAAAGGCAAATAATTTCAAATATTAGCTCAAAATTGCCAGGTATTTTTATTTACTATTTATACTCGATAGTATAACTGGTTACTTATACCATAAAACATTTTGATACTTTAATTTACATGGCTAAATGTTAGCTTTATCTATTGTTTTTACCATTTAAGTCTTGTTCTTTGTTTTTGTTAAAGGTACTTTATCGCCGGTCGTATTTTTAAAATTGAAAAACACGACCGGTGAGAAAGTACCGGTGATAAAATACACTTGTACCGTAAATCGGGGCTTTTTTGAAAGAAATATAAATATAAGTTCAGATTTTGTGTGTGCGTGTGTGTGTTTTAGGTGCCCCAAGAAGACCTAACGGTCTTGTCACAGAGCACCGTGAAAGTGCATTTAACCAGGAAGTTCACGCCTCCTTCCTTATCGTGACGCAAAAATATGTCCAGGCTTGTTTTGAAGCTGGTTCTCCTGCTTATAAAGCAAGCGCTGTAACCACTGCGCCACGGCCACACATAACTTGTTTTATAGTAAATTATAATCTTAAAAATTAATTATTTTGGATATTATTAAGTTTAAGCTACACTTTTGTTCAAGATTTGACAAATTACACTTTATAATTATAATTTTATATATATTTTTTTAATTATTTAATTAATATTTATTTATATAAATATTTAAAAGTATAATTATTTTTTAATATTTATACCATATACCATATACCATCATGTAAATATTTTTAATTATATAATTAAATTAAAAATTATAATTATAAATAAGGAGTGAAGTCATTTTTCGTCGCTTTACCATATAACTCTGACATCAGAGCAATATGGAAAAGCATAACTCTATAAATTGTTTTTCATCAAAATTTCGATATTTTTAAAAAAATAAACGAAAATTTTGAATAATAAATAAATTTTAAATTTAGTCATTATGAAGTTTTTTTTATAATTTTTTTTTTTCATCATGAAGTATTTATTTATAATAAAAAGCAGTTTCTATCGATCCATAAATGGTATGATGCGAGAACTGCTTGACCTAAAGCCAAATTAAAACTTATGCTTTAGTGTGCTTAACCGTATCATGTTTTTCAAATATGTTTGCAACTGCGTCCGATAAACAGAGAGACGCTTTCAATATAAAAGATGGCCATCAACGAAATTCTTTTTGAAAGTTAAAAGCTTCAGTGTTGTTTTGAAGTGTTTGATTCACAGAAAAAAAAATCATCAAATTCGGTTTATTTTTCATCAAATTTGGACTGCAAAAATTTTATAAAACATGAATGAGAAATTTATCCTAAAAGATGAATTATTTTGAATGTAAATATAAGATTTAACTTCAAAAAGAGAAATTTGATCTGAAAGTTTAATATTTCTCTATCGATCATGGTTATTGCAATATCAAAGTTCACTTTTTATTTGATAATTCTATCAAAGGTGGTCCAAACACTGCCATTTCTGTTTTTAAATCTGTTTTGATTTTAAAAACTTTTTTTTTTTTTTACTCTTTCATGTAATCTAACCACGATAGAAACTCCTACTTTGATGTGACATACCTAACCAGTATATTTTGTTTTTATTTTTATAAGATGATAGCTGAAGCAGAATCGTAGCAGTTGCTAAGAACACAACATCACTGTTATTAGCATAACCAATCTTTTAGTTATATTGTGTTTGGTTATATTGTGTCTCGATATTCAGTCCAAGCCCCTTGAACTTAGACTAAATGTTCTTCTAAGTTCATTTTTACATTTCCATCAGCTTTGTTTGTTTCTTGAGTGCTTTTAATTTTACTCTAACAAAACAATCGTTTAAACTTCTGGATCAGGACATCATTCATCATTTTTAAAATCGAGTTGTAGGGCGTATATAGTATAACAGTCACGGCTGTTTCACTCTATATAAAAGTGGGTATGACGTCATGAGTTTATCAAAAAAAAAAAGTATTTCCGCATAAAAAGTATAAAAATTCACTAACTTTAAAATAATAGTATTTTTTTTCTAGAAATGCTTTCATCTTCGAATAAAAAATAAATAAAAGATCTATCTTTCCTTGTTAAAAAAATATTTACATTAAACGGACTATAATAAAATATTGTTAAAATATTGAAATTGATTTGGGATCACTTTTCTGTTTTTTGAGGTTTTTAATGAAAACCTGTCTTGGGCCAACAAAGATTAGCTGACATAGCTACATGCTTAACGGTTGAAATTTAGAGCACTTATTAATGAGTGTCTATTTTATCATATTCTAACGTTACTGGTGTGTATTTGTCAAAAAAAAAGTTTTTCATTGCATTTATATATTTAATTTTATTATTTTTAAATGTAAAATTTAACATTTTTGATCAGTAACATAAGTTATTGAAATTTTAACCTTTTATGCATATGAAAACAAAAAACCTATTTTCTCTACCTCAGCTATTTTCTTTTCAAACTTAGCATGTTTAGCAACAAATATTTTCAGTTTTCGCCTAAATTTTAAAAAGCGATGACGTAACCTTAAATGCGTTACGTCCCAAGCAATTATCTTAGCGATTTCAACTGAACTACTGTTTTGGCGAGACAAATTTTTAAGTATAAAATAAACAAAGTTTAGCGGAATATTCTTGTATAATATATTAATAAATGATTCTAATAAGTCTTAGCAGTTACACAACAGTTTGTTTCAGTCAGATCATAAAGAAAATTTTCAATCATGAATAAACGACAACTATTACGAACCATCATAATTTGTTGGATGGGGCATCATTAGTTAAACCTTACTCCAGAAAAAGCATGAAGCGCCAACATTTAACATATGAAGTCAGTAAGATTATGGAGAGTATTTTCTATATGGAATGGAAATAAAACTAGTATCAATTGCATACAAAGATCGTTTACTACCTATAGAACATATATAAATATATTAACTAAAAAAAAAATTATTTATGTCAATCCACCAAAACGATATTTATCAAATTATTTAAATTGCTTATATTGTTATGTATATTTATAAAAAATGTGTTATTTTTCCACAGAAAAGTGTTAATATTGTAATATCGATCTAAGTGTCAGGAAATTATTCTACGACCGAAAGCAAAAGAAATTGGAAACTCTTTTTGTTTGTTTTAAATCTTTAAAAAAAAATTTTGCATTCGGTGTAAATAATGTTAATATGTTTAATAATTGGTCTAACTATGTTTATATTACATATTAGTCAACAGAAATATATTTTTTCTGATTATTTTTGCTAAAAAGTACCTTTAAAATTTCGAAATTCTGCCAAGTTCGTCATTATGCGCGTTTATTTAAAAATCAGAGCAGCCTTGGATTATTATATTGAATAATAAAATATAAAACTTTTAGTCAGTGTTCATTTTCCTTTTACAGAACGTATTTATCTTTAATATTTCAAAAGTTATGAAAGTTTTAATAACACCCCCTAAGTAATTACTTTCAAAAAATAGCAAGAAGCCGTATGTCCACTCTGAAACAGCCGTGCAGTAGGATGGTATCTAGATAATCGATATCATGATGTGCTAAAATTCTCATATTATTTTCAATTCTTCGTCTATTGCTATCACATGCGAAAAATCTTTAGTTGGTTCTCTTTTATAATTATTTACACTAAAATATTTTTTCATTTTGAGTGCTGAATAATGAAGCCTATCTTTTCACAAAGCTCAAATCTATTCTTGGTTCTGTTGTGTTATCGCCACTAAGCTCTCCAATTCCGTTCCGTATATTTCTTATCGCTAATTAAAGTCTCCTCTGTGTTTCCATCCAAACTAATTTTAAATTACAACTTCACCATTTTCAGAATTTTTTTTCTTGTCAAAGTAACCAATAATTTTTTAGTCCTTACGGTCTTATCACAGAGCACCGCGGAAGAACATTTGAAAGGAAGTTTACGCCTCCTTGCTTACCGATGTTATAAAATTTGCCCAGAGGTGGTGTTTAACCACAGATCTCTCGTTTTTGATGACAGCGCGCTAACTACTGCGCTATGGCTGTTCTAAATTAAAAGGGAAACTCCATGTTAGTTTAAACTTAAATGGACTTTATGTAAGCCGAAGTTTATATGAAGATGACATTTTATACAAATACCTAACTAATTACTAATAAAGTTATATGAGGTTGAAATATCTAATTTGGTAGCTAACTACCTAGCTGATGATCATTTAGTGCATTAAGTTTATTAAATTGCATTTAAACCTAAAATATAGAAAAAATTTCAAATCTGCATATATTTTTTGGTGCAGCTTAGGGTAGCCTAATTTTTTGCAAATAATTAAGAACATACCGGACTTTGATTTTTTGCAACATTTTTAATTAATTAGCTAATTTTTAATTTAAAAAGATTTATTAAAACTTAATTTAATACCACTGAAAAGTAGCTTTCGAACGATAATTAACACACACACTTACATCACCTTAGCATATGACTGCAACTGTCCAGGGCCGTACCGAAGAAGGGTGTCGGGGGTGTCCTCTTCCCCTCCCACCCAAAGCTGTCATATAAACAATTGGGCACATTGAGCAAGTTTTAATCAATGTGCCAACTGAAATGCACATTGATCAAAAAATGTATTGAGGACCTTTTTTTTTTTTTTGTGTCCTTAGTTTGCAAATACTTAACAACCCCCCTCTCCCATGAAAAAGCTATTTTGGGACGGCCCTGTAATTGTCTTGGTTTTTCCGTAAGAAAACACAATGAAAATTTTAGTTTTAATAGCTTAGCTTTGCACTCAGTAAGGCCAAACCAACTTTTTTTTTCAAATCTAAATCTTCAAGTATAAATATCTTTGGAATTACAAATCACAGGAGACTAATATTTTGGGATTTTCTTATCTTTAGTGTAATCTTTTAATGTGCTTTGCTTCATCAATGTTTTTATTTTTATTTTTAGCCACCCTGTGACCCACTGTTCGACATTATATTTGACCCACTTTCGATATTATAATTGACCTATTTCGATATTATAATTGACCTATTATAAATTTACTTAAATTGTCTGCTTTTGCGATCTTATACTTTACAAATGGGACTTTTTTGTTTTCTCAAAAATTCTCAAAAATCTCAAAAATTGAAACATGAAAATGATTGTAAAAAGATAAAAATTTTACTTTTAATTTAAATTTTAAAACTAAAATCTTATATTTAAAAAAACTAAATACTTATATTAAAAATAAAATCTTATAAAAACTTATATTTGCGTGTTGATTTTGGACAATGCGGAAGGAAAAGTTTCACTTGTGTGAAAGCAAAAGCTACACTTTTATTCGACACAATAAAAAATAAGCTCAGCGTTTTTCATAACTTTCCGAACTAAAAAATACATCCGAACCTAAGTAAAACCGCATGCGGTTTGCGTAGACTTTGTACTTTGTGTACTTTGGTGACATTAGACCATGTAATAGGCGGTTTAGATTTATACAAATTCGAATTAACTTTATGGTCTAGATAGCTCTATTTTAGAGAAAATATTTTTAAAAAGTTATAACTAATTTGTTAACTTTTTTTTTTACTAAATCTTTATCTTTTTTGCATAAAGTATTTTAAAGACTTCAAGAGTTTACGACCATAATGTATCGACTTGTTGCCTTTGGGTTGTTAGGAATATTTGGATTGCTATTCATAAATCTACCATGGCTATTAACTGTTGCTTGCGTTTCTGTTCTGTATCTTATAACTGGTGGTTGGAAATGGGTTCGATTATTTTATTTGACAATTGGGCGTGATATAAAAATAGCTAAAGTTATTTTAGGTATAGAGATTAATGCACGAAAATTACTTAGGCAAAAAAAGACAATAGCAGATATTTTTCAAGAAAATGCCGCCAAAAACCCTGATAAGTATATATTTGAATCAATCGACACTGGAGAAAGGATAACATATAGGCAAGCTGCTGTCTTATCTAATAAAATGGCAAACATATTTTTCGAAGCTGGCTATAGAAAAGGAGATGTGGTTGGGTTGCTGATGGAAAACTGTGTTGAATATATACCTATCTGGATAGGACTCACTCAAATAGGTATTGTTGTCAGTTTAATGAATTACAATTTGCGTGGAGAAAGCTTAAAACATTGCTTTGTCAGTGCTGAGTGCAAAGCAGTAATCTATAGTTTAGAAATGGATGCTGTTCTTTCTGGAATATCTTCACAAATGAATATAGAGTACTACTGTTATGGCAGCAAAGTAAGCTCTATAAATAATTCCAAACATTTGAATACACTTTTAGCTTCTGCAGCAGAATATGCACCACCAAAACCTTTAGACTTATCTCTACAAGATAAAATAATTTTTATATTCACATCTGGTACTACTGGATTACCTAAAGCAGCTGTTATTAGAGGCACTAGATTTTATTTTATGGCTTCAGGTATTGGTGGAAATATTAATGCAACTTCAGAGGATAAAGTATACAACACATTACCAATGTACCATAGTAATGGCGGTATTGCTATAGCATGTTTTCCCATTTTATTTAGCGCTACAATGATCATTCGCAAAAAATTTTCTGCAAGTAAATTTTTTGAAGATTGTTATAAATCAGAGGCAACAGTAATTAATTACATTGGCGAAACGTGTCGATATCTATTGGCAACCCCAGTTGTATCATTTGAGTCACAGCACAAGGTCAGAGTTGCAGTAGGAAATGGATTGCGAGCATCTATATGGACACAATTTACATCCCGTTTTAATATTCCTCTTATAGCAGAGTTTTATGGATCTACAGAGGGAAATGCAAATATGATTAATGTGTGTAATCGTGTCGGTGCAGTTGGTTTTAGTTCAGTGCTCTTACCACGAGCTTATCCAATCAAGTTAGTGAAAGTTAACAAAGAAACAGGTAAATACTGTATTTTGTTTTAATAAACTTTAGCCTGACTTGTTTTTTTAAGATTTATAAATAAATATTCAGTACATATATGGACTAAGAGTTTAGGTTTGTGTAGATATTTTCTTTATATAAAGAACTTTTATTACAGCAAAATAAAAAAATTTCACTCTTTATATTTATTTCTATTTTATATTTTATAATTATTTCTGGATTTAAATTAGCATTATAAAATCTAAGTGTGCAAATAATGTTAGGATAATGCCAATCTAAATTCACAAAAAAGTGTGATTTATTGCAGTTTTGATATGGTCTCCTTTTATGAAAGTATTTGATATGAAATAATAAGATTGAAAAAATATAATATAAAGCATAGCATTTCTTGTGCTATCTAAAACTCATTCTTGTGTTACTTGTCATTTAACTAAGTCTCATTTTACTACTTTGATTGTTCCTATGCGATCCAAAAAATTTTATTCCTCTAGTTTTTTTCCTCGAACATCATAAAATAAACTAGTCTCAAATATTATGATCAAATCTCACTTCTGCTAGTTTCAGTCACTGGTGAACTTTAACTCAGATAAATCTCAATTTTATCAGCTAATCTTTATTGCAACAGATTTTTCTATATATATGAACAGTAATGCACTCTATGAGTCATCTACCCTTCGTCTTCTAAAATTAACTCTTCCAATATTTCTTGAAAACCATATATCAAATCCATTGCAAAATTAATATCTGCTAAGGTTGCATCTCTTTATTGTGCTTGTCTCTTTCTTACTCTGGATTCTATTTTTTTATCTCTATAAATCTCATATCCTTCCTTGTATGGAATACTGTTGCCATATCTAAAGCGGATCTTTGATGCCCTTTCTCTTTTAGACAAGGTGCAAAAATGCATTTTAAACATAGTATGATTTGCTCTTGCAGCCGACCTTCAACCAAAAAAATTTATTCCTCTAGTTTTTTTCATCAAACATCAGTTCTTTTGAATTTACTCCCTTTATTTTGTTTTCTTGATTCATATAGTTTGCAATCATTCAAGTTGTCTGTTAATTATTATCTTGCTTCTTAAACCTCGTCTTTTCTCTTCCAGTAACTTTCAACTCTATTAGTGGTTGCTTGCAGCCTTGTTGGTAGTGAATATGTTTTAAAAAAAAGTCATTGCTTTAGGTTTAGCTCTAAGAAAAAAAAAAAATTTATGATAAATTTTAACATTTGAAACTGTTTTTCCATGTTTTTCTAAACATCTTTTAAAAGATTATATTTTTAAGTTTCTTTAAATTATGAATAAGTTAAATTAAGTTTTCCAATGATTTATTTGCTTTATTTTTTTTTATTTTTGTGTTTCTATTTTTACAAAGAAGTGTTTAAAAGTTTTTTTTTTTAAACTTGACTTACTAATTAAAGCATGAAATGATTAAAAATTACGATGTAAAAAAAAAAGTTATTTTTTTAAACAATTTTTTTTTTTTTTTGCAACTTTTTAAAAAAAATGTTTATACAACATAAAAGTTTTATATGTTTTTTTTTTCTATAATTTAATTTCACTATTCAATAATTTAAATAAAATTTGTTTATTTATTTAACAATCAGTTGAAGTAAAAGTATTTTGTGTAACTTTAATTTTACATTTTAAAAGATAACTTTTAAAGTTTTTCAAATGCAATTAAAAATGTAACAAAAAGGAGTTTTAACTTTAAGTTTTTTTAGTTTTATTTTAAAGCTAATTTAGTTTCTTTTTTGTAAGGAATTATTTTGCTTGTTTTATAGTTTTTTCAATTTTTTTCCTGGTTAAAGTTTAGGTTAACATTTCTTTTTTCAGCGCCTTTTTGAAACGTTTAAATCATCAAATCATCTAAATGGTTGTGGTCAAGTTGTAAACAAAAAAATTATTTGAGTGGTCAGCAATAATACTTGATTGCACTCCATTCCTTCCCACTCCTGCTTTTTTCCAATGTCCGAACATTAAATTGAGCTCTGCTATATATATATATATATATATATATATATATATATATATATATATATATATATATATATATATATATATATATATATATATATATATATATATATATATATTCGTGCAGGGTCATCTTTGGTTTTCCCATGCAATGTAAACATGTTTTTTTTTTTACACATTAATTTAAAAGAAAAAAATTTAAAAACTTAAATTAAATTTTTTTTTTCAAAGTCAATAGATTGTCAAAAAGATTGTCTCAAACCAAAACTCTCAGTTGATGTAGCAGCCTTACTCCTTGTAGGTTCTACCTATTTGCCAGTTGATATGTACACTCTTTGTATGTTCTAACTATTTGCCAGTCGATATCAATATAAAGTATGGTTTCACATATGGTTTTGTATTCTATATAGAGTAATAAAGTACTATTACTAAATAAAAAATGTAATTTTTAATATACTTAAAAAAGTACATATGCTTACATTTATTTTTTACTTTTTATTTATCCATTTATTCAACCATAAAATTAAAAAACAACCATAAAATTAAAAAACAACCATAAAATTAAAAATTAAATATTTATTCAACCATAAATATAAAAATTAAAAATTTAATTATAATTTACAAAATTAGGTTCGGTGTCACTCATATAGTCAAAAACTAGTCAATGGTGGCACAATAAAAAAAATAAAAAATAAAAATACTAAGACAAGGAAATAGTAGAGTAAGCTACAATAAAGCAAGCAATAAAAAAAGTATCATCAGAACAATGATATTTAAAATATTGGAATCATAACAAAAATATTAAAGGCTAACAAAACAAAAAAAAAGAGAGAATAAACAGTTGAGTCAAAACAAATGTACAAGAAAAAAACAAATTAAATGACATAAGTTTAAAAAGATTAAGTGAGAAAAAAACAATTTCCGTAGATAAATATAAATAAGCAAAATAAATCTAAACTTACATAAAAAAATATACATACCCAGGCCTTCAGAGCCGTGGCTAGGCTCCCCCACACCCCCTGATTAGGGGGGGGCAGCATTTTTAGGGGCTCTTTTCAAAAGTAAAAAAAAAACTTATCTCACTATATTACCTATATTATGCAAGCGTAAAAAAAGCAACAATATTTTTAATGCAAAAAAAAAAAATGGAAGTAACACTCCCGAGGTCCGAATTATATTATAAAACGCAAACTTTATAAATTTATTATTTCTATTTTGCAATTTTGAATTATATCATAAAAAACAAATAATGAAAGAAGGTTTGCAAAAATTTATATTTATCTTGTTAGTTTTTCCCAATATAAATATTGATATGAAAAAAGTGAAAAGTGGTGCCACTAAGAGAAGAAAAAATCACAAAATACCCCAAACAAAGAGAGGAAATCACAAAATGCCCCAAACTAACACATTTTTTGAAACCAGCAGTTTAGCCTGGAAGTGTTTCGACACCAACAGAAATTACAAATAATTCTGATTATCATTATTTGAATACTAGAGTCAGATAGGTTGAAATGTGAGTCTACATCAAATGGCATAACAATTCCGCCTATTTTTCTCTGTGATGATCCTTCTGAGTTGCCTGATGATGTTTCTGACGCACGGAGGTGAATTACAATTGCTCGCGGAATATATTAAAACATGGACTTTCTTATTATCAATCATTATTTGGTATGATATTTTATTTCAAATCAACATATCAAGTAAGCTTATTCAGTCTTCTGCAACCTCTCATGGCATATTAGCGAGTGAAATAAAGGCAACAAATGCATTTCTTTATAAGTATCGCAAAAATGGATTTTCCAACGCACGTATTAAAGCATCAGAAATTGCAGAAGTATCAGGCATTGAAAAGTTTTTTCCAATAATATGTTTACAAAAAAAAAATGTCGATTTATTTATACGAGAGTGTTGATCACACTCGGCAAATGAACATCAGTATAAAGCAGATTTTTTTTTGCCATTAATTGATATGTCAATTGCATTAGTAAAAGAGCGATTTGAACAGATCAGTATTGTCACGAATCTTAATGACTTTCTTTACCAATCTAAGAGTCTTATCAAAGCCTGTAATGAAAGTTCTTTGTCTATATATTGCAAAAGTTTGAAAATGAAGCTTGGTAATATAGATTTTGAGGATTTAGAAATGAAGTTAAAACAATTTGCCATAGTTAACAACGAGGAAAAATATGCCTCAAAGAAAACAAACTTATCACAATTTAGTTGTTGCGTTACGAATCATTCTTACTGTATCAGTTATTGTTGCAAGTACAGAATGTAGTTTTAGCAAGTTAAAACTAATTAAAACTTTTCATAGGTTATTATAAATAATCTTGCTTTATTATACATAAATATATGTAGCTATATTTCTTTGTATCTTTAAATAGGTCAACAATGGTCGATGAACATTTTTCTTCTTAACAACGCTGTCGATTAAAATCGAGGTTGCAAGAAATTAAGTTATGAAGGCATAATAAATGAGTTTGCAAGCATGAAAACACGTAGTAAACTCTTTTTTTGATGCTTTACGACGTACTTGTATTATCTGTGTAATACATTAACAGTATTTAAAAAAACTCCTTACTAGTAAACTCTAATCAATTTAACAATTATAAAATAAATTTAATTGAATTTAAACATTAATTTGATTGTTTTTAGCCTTATGAACGGTGATGTTAAAATATGTCAGGTACCCTGCTTTTCAGGGTAATCTTTTAATTTTATCCACTTTTTTAGAAAAAATAAACAAAAAATTAGGGACCAAAAGGTTAGTTTGGGGGGGGCAGACCCACTTGCCATGGCACTGCAGGCCTTGTTTTAAATTAAAAAATGCTTAACGCATTAGCTTAATGTGAGTTTGTCATAAAATTCTCTTTATCTTTTTATTTTTTAAAGATATGAACTTTTTTAAATTACTGCTTTATTATTAATTACTGCAAAATGAGTTAAATATCGTTTAACGTTTTTATTAATATTATTATAAAATATTATTAATTAATAGGTAATTTCTTTCGATTTTTTTTTAAATATTAAATAGTTAAATTTAATA